GCAATAAGTCTAGTGTCTTATTTTTCCCGTTTATTTTGTTCCCTATTTATTAAACTAATAGTATTGAGATGACAATATAGCAAATGAAATGTACATAGCCATGTTAACAATATAAACATGGAGATTAAATAACCATACCAGCACAGATTGCTGCATAATAGGCGTTCCCCCTGGAGCATCTGTGTCGCTGTGAATTGAATTGATGCATTTGTCAAGAAATCTGTGATGACAAACAAAAGCAAAAAAAAAAAAAAAAGGACTAGCGGAAAACCATACTTCATGTAGTTCTGGAAATATAACTCTTCTCTCACTTTAACGGTCAGCTCCATCACAAGCTCAGGGTGTTTCAGTTTAAGATGCTTGTGTACAAATTCAGCAGCGTGAAACAGCTTTGTGCAACCCTTGGCTCCACAACCAAATTTCCACCCATACTTCTCATCTCTAATCTTCCGGACATATGGATCCAAAGCCTCAACAGCAGCAGCATCTATCTTCTCTTTACAAGTCATCACTTCCAATGGATCCTGACCCCTCAACCTCTCTTGCCAGCGTGAATCAAGTTTTTTCTCCCATTCAGCTCCACTGGTAGTTTCAGAACTCTTTCCCTCAGCTCTCACATGCCTGGCACCCTTAGCTTCATTTGTTTCAATCATTCCATAATAATCCAACCCATGAACACGCCAAAGATAGGTAATAAGAGTATCCAGCAGCTCAACACCCTCCAAACCCTTCACGGAAGTTAGGCCTCGTATAATAATAACTGGTCCAGTAGACCCACTATGTGATTTATCTCTACCAACTTTGTCATTTTCAGACCCACATAAAATATTCTCCTCAACTCCTTTCTCTGAGTCCAACTTACGCACTAAAGCCTGTGCTTGTTCAATGTCAACTTGGATTCTTCTGGGTTCAGAACCGACTGGATGAGCTTTAGGAGCAGCAGAATGAATATCAGTTTCTTTAGCTGGTCCCCTACCATGCCTTCTTCTTTTCCCACCAGTGTCAGCTTCATCATCAGAATTTGGATCACTATTTTGTCCTGATTTGTTAGATGACAAGGCAGTCACTCCAGGACCTCTGAATCAAAGATAAAAACAATCAGTAAGCTGCTATAAAAATAAAAGGTTGACAACCAGACCGAATACTCAGTTGGAAATGCAACAGAAATCCCAAGCTTACAAGTCCAATGTGCCACTCTGCAGATCCAGCAGAAAATCTTTTGCAACCTTTCGTGCCAGTTCATTCCTCCTAGAAAGTAAATTATAGAAAACAAAAATAATAAAAGTTTGATGAGAATTCGGTAGAAACTGGAAACTCCAACTAACAAACAAGATCACCAGACCAAGAAGATTAATCAACCTAATTATGATGTTTTGGCTGTCATGAAGCCTAAATGTAGCTCACCTTTCTATGACAGCGAGTAAATTTGTTGGATGATACTTGTCTTTCAACCTACATGCACAAGCAACTTAGTTCGTGGAACAAAGTGCAGATTAAAACATGAATCAAGCAATGGTAAGTAATACCATTCTTCGTCTTTATGAGCATCAAAAAAAGTTCGTTTCTGAGTTGAAATATACTCTGACTTGTATTCTTGGTATCTGGATCAGAAAAAGGTTATTTAACTCACTTCTTTTATGTTCCAAGTCGTAGTACTGAAACAAAACAAAACATTATCAAACTAATAATCTGCTTCTTCTACCTGCGCTCAGCTTCAGATGGTAATATATCATCCTCAAGCTCCTGAATGAACTGCTTGTATGACATCAAGCCTTCTCTGGAAGAATTTACTCATTATGTCACATTATTGAGATCATGCCAGAAAATAAGTAACTAGTGATTTCTGAAGGTCGACAGAATTACAGAAAATGTTTTAATAACATACTACGTTAGAAACTAAATAGACAGAACTACTAATAGAGCAAAATGTAACAGTCACTTGAGCAACCGTATACTTGGTTTCAGTTTTTCCTTTTTCGTACTTTGTTCCTTACAGTGATCATTACATATCAACTAGTGCTGGAAGAAATTTATCTCAAAAAAAAAAAACTAGTGAGGAAAGAAACAAAAGTCCGTGAATTTGTTCTTTTTTTTTGTTTTGAAAGAAAAAGTTAGAATAAAATTAGAATGGCACCAAAGGGGGTACCGCCCGTATACAAATAAACTTGTAATAAACTTGTAGAACACACTTACATGCGTGCACATATTTCTTCTAACAAGAAAAAGGATGTGAAGACATCGGACTGTCATATTTTGCTCATGTAAAGTGTAAAACAACACATGCAAACTGCAAAATATACTTCCACCCACAGACATACTTTTGTCTAAATGTTTTTTTCTTGTTAAAAGAAATATGTGCACGCATGGAAGTGTGTTTTACAACCACTTGTTCAAGTATGATGGCAAGGTGTTAGACTTGCAGACAAGACAAATTATGAAGGTAAAGAGCTCCTCCTCGTAATTGTTCTTTGCGTGGTAGCTAATCAAGAGAATGTCTCTTTACCATGGACAAGCTGAAGAAGGGCAAGATTATCTGTGAAGGCC